AACCCCTCCTCTCCCCGCAGAGCTGCGCCGCCTGGCCTCCATCCTCGTCAGCGACTGGATGGGCGTCATCCGCTCCCAGAGCAGCACCCAGCCCACCGGTGAGTCCCCCCCCCGCGCCCCTCTCCCCTCTCCGTCGCGACAGGCGATGTACGACACTCCAGGTATCGGCAAAAGCGAGTTTCATACGACGTAGAAACGCGCCGGCGAGGTTCGCTCTGTTAGTTACCGCGCGGAAGAATGCTCCAAAGCCCCCGGTGGAGCTTAGGCGCGGCTGGGACCAGTCTTAGTCTCAGGCTTAGACAGCGGTTTAAGGGCTCGCGCGTGGAAAGCTGGTAGAATATTTCACGAGCCTCAGTTCAGCCCGCGATCAGAGTTACCGAGGCCAAAGCTTAGGCGCTGTCGGTCGCTTAGCAAAGATGCGGCGTCGGTAAAAGGCGTCGCTGTCGGGTTGGCGGGATGGAGCGGTCGGCTCAGAGCGACTGCGGTTGATCCGCTCGATCGACTCCTCGAGCGGTGGTAACCCCTTGCCTCCGCGTTATGGATCCCCGGCGCGGCGTAGATCGGCGCTGAGGATCCAATTAAAAGGTTTTAATTAACCCACGCCAGCGTCTCACCCTTTTCTCACCTTTTTTCCCCCCCCCAGAACGAGATAAAAAGAAGCGAAAAGAGGAAAACAAAAGCAAAACGCCCGTCCAAGAGAAACCCCAAGAAGCCAAAACCGAGGCTAAAACCGAGGAGGTACCAGAGAAGAAGCGGGAGAAACCCAAATCCCTGCGCACCACCGCTCCCAGCCACGCCAAATTCCGCTCTACCGGTAATTCCCGCTCCGTCCCGCGGGGCAGCGGCAGGTTTTGGGGCTGGGTTGGGGGTTTTGGGGGGAATCCGAGGGGCTGCGGTCGCTCGTGGGGCGCTGCGAGGGGCCGCGCTAACGCCGTTCCCCGCGACACAGGGCTGGAAATGGAGACGCCTTCCTTGGTGCCCGTGAAGAAAATGAACTCGTCTTCGACCACCGATAAATACAGTCTGAAACCGATGCCCATAAAGAGGCAGAAGTGAGTCGGGGGCGCTTTGGGGGGGCTTGAGGCAGCTTTTGAGGGCCTCAGAGCAGCTTTTGGGGGTCTCGGGGTGGAAATAGGGGCCTTGGGGCTGCTTTTG